GCTTTTCTTTGTGCTGAAACTGTGGGGATTGCACATACCCTGAGTCTTCATATCGTAGTAAATTTTTGGAAACATTTTAAAGCATAGTTGAACAGTCTGTGGCCCGTGGGATGCCTCTGGCTCTCAGTATAGCTGTGTGGACTTCGATTATCCTAAGGAAGGATTCAATCTCCACAAAACTCCAAAATTGCCCCCAAATTGAATTGCTGACATTCATCCGTTTTGCCAAATTTCATATTTCGGGTATTTGAAGAATTAGGAATGGTACAAAGGCAGTCTTCAAGAATCAGATGTGACTGAATGGAAGAAAAGATGGAAACAATGGCTTATTTGGGTCTCCTTTTCCTACTGTATAAACCTTGGAACAATCCACTTCCCAAGTGGGGCCAACAATTTGTAAGCTTGCTGTTCAAGTGATTTGCTATGTCATAAAAACATTGAAGGCCTTCTATTAGAAGAATAAGATGTAGTTCCCAGCAAACTCCATTTTGTTTCTCACTGTCATGTATCATTATTATTTTTAACGTCACAGTTGAATTTTCTGACTTCGTAAGTTCCATACAGTTTCAAGAATGACATTTATTGTATAGTTTTCTCTTGGATGACATTTTCTTTCCAAATAGCCTTGGGGGGTGGGGTGGGAGGTATATTTAATCCAGCTTGATTTCTTTCTGGGTCTGCCTGTGCCTAAGCAGGAATCACCTGGGAGACCTCTGATCACACCAGGCAAAGAAAAAAGAAAAAATTTGAAGTGCCCTCCTTATGCAATGTTTTCCAGCTAAAGGCGGCATTACAAAGTGGATATGGCCATATCAAAAAAAAAAGTGGTTTATTCATATATAAAGTGAAAAATAAATCACATCCAAAGTGGAATGCTTTTAAAGTGTTGAGGTTTAAAACAGGCAAAATCTGTTGCCTGTTGATGGCAACGACTGTACCAGATGCTAATAGAGAGTAGCTCATGTTGAATTTTCCTTACAAGCAGGAGGAGGTTTTAGGGGCCATGTTAAATCATTGGACTGATGCAAAGAGCTCGAGAAACATTGGCTGTCCATCCCAAGGTTGTTCCTTTCTTTTTGGCTAATGTGCTGAATAGTAGTGATGAGCTTCAGCTGGTCCCATGGTCCAATTTCAATTTCACTGGCAATATTCAGTTATACTGGCTTGCTGAAATCTGGGCCTTCACAACTGTGAGTCTAATATATTTTGGCTGAGGAATAGCTTCTCATCTCTAACATAAAGCCTGCATATTGCTATAAATGTGCTGGAGTGTAAATGCATCTGAGATACAGTAAAAAAAGGAAAGGGAAATACATCTTGATTTTCTGAAAATGATTGCTTCATTACTGAAGTGAATGTTATTTACACGCTGTTCAAACAAATCAGACAAAAAGTCTGACAAAAACAAGATTATTGATGATTACACATGCATTTTTATTTTTTAACAGAGTGACATCCTAAACATCTTAAAGGAAAGAGAGGGAAAAGAAACACTGTTTCGTGAGTAAAAGCCTAATTTGCTTCAGTTAGACAAAGTAATAATAATAATACTTTATTTGCGGTCACAGACCAAAACACAAGTACAACAAAAGAAGAACATGGGAAAATTAATCATGAACAATTATTGGTCACCAAAAACTCGATTAAGGGGAATTACAGCGTTCTCCTCTGATGGTTACAACTCTTAAAAAACATTTGGGAACCAAAGAAGTGCTATATGAGGAGCTATCCCCTAAATATAAGAACAAATTACTAACATTGCACCTAGAAGGGTCTGTTTCAAGGAGAGGCAGTAACTTAGATCTGCCTGCGTTAAACACTGGGCAATACAAAAGGACACGGTCCACAGTTTCAACCTCAGCTCTATCACCGGGGCATAGCCGCTCATTAATCGGGAGCCTCTTAAATGGCCCATCCAGTAGTGCTGAGGGCAAGACATTAAAGCGAGCCAGGGAGAAAGCTCTTCTATACTTGGGAATGGTTAGAGTGTAAAAATAGGAAGCCATCCTCAATTAGGCAAAGTATTGGATTCAGGATTTGCTGGAAAGGTCAGTTGCACCATTTATGTAAAATGTAAAAGTAAAAAAACTTCAACCAAACTAAAGCAAAGAACTTGCTGTTTCTATTGGTTTAGCAGGAAGGTGGTTTCCTTTCCTACCCCTTTTACTTAATGATCAAATCAGGTGATCAGAAATTTGGGTTTACTTTAGTTTTCATTCAGTTAGAATTTGTCAATGCCAGAGACTTACCCCTACGGTGAACAGAGGTATCCCCAAACTGGGGGAAGGTTTACCTTTTCCATTTATAACCAGTGCCCTTAACAGGGATGTGAACTTAAATTTATTTTATTTCCCTGTAATCTAAGATTTACTTTATGGCTCACAAGCAAAAGTTTAAAAGGCACTGCTTCTCGTATGTGATGGCCTAAATAACAAAGGAAGAGAAAAGCCAAATCCTTTCTTGGCAGCATTTGCTCAAAGAAGAGCTAGGCACGTTATGATAATTCTTTGTGGAATCTCCATCAGCCCTAATCAGACAGTCCTTGTTTAGCAACAGTCTTGTTTAGTATCCTTGCACAACTATCATGGTGGTGAAAAAGTAACTTTGCAAAAACAGTCATATTTATCATCTTCACGGGTAAAGCAAAGCAAAGCAAAGCTGAAATGATATCACAAGCACTTTTGCAATTTTACTTAGTAACAGCTTTGCTTAATGATTGAGTTGCCTGCTAAATGAAGACTACCTGTACTCATTTATACTGAAGGATTGCTGTGGGAGCAGTAGGGAAAAAGTTAAGTTCTGTCTTATTTCGTAGTTTTCTATTGAGAATAAGCTGTCAGGTTGCTCTAACCCAGGGCTGTGGCCCGGGGCCCTGGCCTTGATACATCATGTGAGCTGCCATGACCCTACAGGTTTGACACCCCTGTTCTAACTTATTGTGGAGGAAAAACAACGTCACTTCTTTTGAACGATAGTGAAATTAGCTAGAGAAAGTAATCTTTAAGAGTTGAAAATGCAGGGAGAGAAAGAGTTAAAAAGCTCATCACATTTTTCTGAAATTTTCCACAAATAATAAGAGATCTATAGTAAATATACAAATTGGCTCTGAAGAGGCTGTCAATTGTCTTTCCCTAATCTGGTTCTTTCCAACTGTCCTAGAACAGCAGTCTACAGAAATTTCCATTATTATCAGTGAAAAATAAAATATTATGGCAAAATTGCAACTTTATTTTTTAGATAAGGGTCATATTTGAGTGATGCCAAGGACCAGATTACAGCTTACAACAACAAAAACCCTCAAAAATTTTATGGACATTTGTGTGCAATTGAAAATAACATGATTTCAGTAATATCGATTAATATAATTCTACTTTTTTTCTGTCACATTAAACATTTCAAGCCCATTGCAACTCTGTCCAAAATTCCTTTGGGGAACATACCCTCTGCTCACTGCACTATGGTAATGCTTGCTTCACTAGTCAGTTTATTCATTTCATCTTATCTCATGTTTAGTTTCAATATTTGCATGGTAGTGAGTGGATTTTTTTTTGAGGCAAAGTCCCCTGCCATTCAAGCGATCAGCAAAACCTTCAACAACTTTCCATAGAAAGATTTTCTGTTTTCTGTGCATTCTATTCTGCCATCAGTCTGAAAATGATTTTGAGTAACTGAGTCAATGAGATCTTTCCCTAGTTGCTGAAAATGATGATGGTATATAAGAATGACAAAGAAATTCCCTGTAACAAATAGGAGCCAGCTTGACTACCAACCCTAGCAATATTTTTCTGTTGCTGTCTGATTTATGGTGTTCTATCTTTTTTAAAAATTCTGTTTCTTTTCAACCACAGAACTCCTGTTAAAACAGGAATAAAGCACCATTGTAATTTGGAAAGGTCATTAATCAATTGGTCATAACTCGAGGACCACCTGTATATCTCCCAATTGCAGAAAAATGGATTTTATTTACACAATATCTGAATTTTTCACTTAGCATCATTACTTGTATTTCTTTGTATTCTGCAGCTCTCTGTTTTAAATGCATTTTTTTTTCTATAAAGTTGCAGTGAAGTTTAAAAAATTAGATTCATACAGAGACAATGTGGGAAGAGATGCATGGCTGCTACTTTATCTGTACAATGACTGATAATGTTCCATATGATGCTTATATCTTGGTATGTTAGAAAAGAAGTAATGTTTGTGCTATACTCATGTAATGTTATGTCAAATTTATAACAAATACTTTATTGTACCAGAGGGGTAATTTCTCATGTGCCGGCTCAGACTGCAGCTGCTCATTCTTTTTAAAATTTCTTGAAACAGAATTATTCACTTGGAAAAGTGGAACCAATACTTAACACTGTATGCCCATATAGCTAAGAATATTGCATTTTAGGATCAATGGGATGACTGACTTTTTTGGTCAGTTCTTTTCTCTAGATATGACGCACCAAATATTTAGTGAAATTGAAATCCAGTAAGAGGACATGATGTATCACTTCAGCAAATGCTCTGTTAATGATTAGATGAAACTGAGTAACAATGTGCAATAAGTACAACTAGGATTTGGAAAACTAGTGAAGAATTCAAAATCTCTTGAAGAAGAATATTGGGACATTTTTCACTCAGAAAGAATTAACAAATGTTCAGAATGTTTTATTAAATTTGGAAGTTAGATTGCTTGAAAACATTCTGTTTTCAGAGCTGTCTATATTTATGTTTTGAACCTAGGATTTATAAACAATTCATAAATTATAAATTAAAATATATAAATTATACATTCTTTATACCACTTATATATTATTTCCCTAAGTTCTGCAGATATGTGAAGATGAAAAAATTGCAATAACTGAAGACTTTGAAATACCATTAAGAGTGCTCCTGTTACCTGTTAGGCTTGTGCGTTTTTTTTTGTTTTGTTTTGCCATTTGTGTTTGGGTTGAATGAAGGAATTGTTCAGATAACAAAACAAATATTTCACCAAGTTAATTTCTACATATCCGCTGAATCTGAATGGTAGCAAGGATGGGCATTTCAAGAAGGGGGCTGGACCTGAATTGTTGATCAGATTACATAAAAGAATGCACTAGGAAATGCACTTTATTTTATCTCAGGATATTGGAACAGGCAATATTTGATACTGGAGCCATGACTGGATGTCCGTTTTGGAAGAACAAATACCAGTAAGTGCATTTCTCTTTTTTGTGAATAAGGTATATTTGGATAAACAAAAACAAATGAAATAGATATACGTAAATATAATAATAATTTTTAAAAAGCAGCTGTTTTTTTGGAAGCCTGTTTTTATTTCCTATTTTGCAGTACATTTAATTGACAGAAACAGAATCAGTCTTGTCTTGTTACAAATTCAAATAACCAGCATAGTGATATGGTCCGTTATAACGTTCTCTTCTGTTGGCAGTCCTTAGCTCGGTTATCATTTGTTTATTCATAGATTTAATTTTACTAAACTGGCTTTGGGAGATGGAGCAGATGACAAATCGCAGGAAGGATTAAACAAGGCTAGCAAAGGTGGTCTTATCTATGGCGAATATCTACATGTAAGTATGAGATAGTGGTACCGTTTAAAAAAAAATGACTAATTTGCAACTGAATATTTCGGCACTTTCTGTAGCTCTTTAAGTATGTTTTATGATTGTGAAACTCTTGATGATTGTAATGAATCTTCAAAAGACTCATATTTTAGATACGGATCCTTAAACGGTCTCAGTAACCCCAATAGGCAAATAACCATTTGTACCCCCACTTCTCCCCACCCCAAAGTGGGTGGTTAGGAGTCCTACTTTATGAGGGGCAGTTTTCCATTTGAAGACTTGCTTCAAATTCTATTGTTCACAACATTTTAAAAAGTCACGAATAATCCATCTTTGTAACCTGGCTGCCTCTGTAAAAGGAATTTTTTCAGGCAATGTTATCTTTGTCCACAGGACACCTGAATGTCTGTAGGCAATTGGGGGAAGCTCCTTTCTTGTCCCTATGCAGTTTATTCGCTCATGGAAATTGAGCCACCAACCTCAGTGGTGCACAGGACCAGTGTCTTACCACATGAGCCACCACGGCCCCCCTCCAGCAGAGTTTCCCTGCCAGACAAAAATCAATAGTAAAACAATTATTGACAAAGCTCTACCAGTAGAAATGCAGCTTGAACCAACATGTTCTTATCCAGATCCATAATCCCTTATCTGACTTTTAGGCTGAGAGTCATTTTTATTGGCTGTTGGGTTCCCCACTCCCCCATGAAATTATTCTTGTCCTGTTGCTGCTGCAGCAGCTGTAGTTTTCATCAGAAAATCAGGTTTGTTTGATGTCTAATTACATTAACACGGGGATGGGGCGGCTGCAATAATTTTGCCAAGTTAAACATTAGGGCCAACTCAAAAATCTATGGTACCCCTAGGCCACATGGACTATGGCACCATCTCTTTCCAATGTGAACATTTTGCATTTTAAAAATGATTCAGAGAAAGGAAAGCATTGGTGGTTCCCAAACTTTGGTGTCCTACTCATCCTTACTTTAATTTAAGAACAGCCCTATTAGATAATATCTTTAAAGACATGGTATGTATGGGCACGACTTTAAAGCTATTGTTTTCAAAATATAAAAGACTAAAGATTGAAGTGTGAATTTTTAATGAAGATATATTCATTATGTAATACAGAATTAAATGACATTATCTGCAGAATTATTGAACGAGCAATCTTCTTTCTTTTAAGCTGGATAAAATATTGAATGCACAGGAACTTCAGAGTGAAAATAAGGGAAACAAAATTCATGATGAACATCTGTTTATTGTGACCCATCAAGGTAAATCCTGAATAATCCAGTTCATCTTATTATCTGGTGATTACAAGTACAGGCTTACTTTTTAATAAAATGATTTTGCTCTATATATTATTTTAGTACCCTATAAGTAAACGCAGTAAAACAGTAAGTAAAACAACTAACAGAACTCCTAGCTGAAAAGGCTGATTGAATTGTTTGAAGTGTCTTCAAATTTGGAACTATCCCTAGATTTCTTTTCTTTTTTAAAAAAAAAATACAACACTTTATTAATTAAATTATTAAAAACATTGGATGTGGTTTAATTGTCCCCACAATCCTGGTTGTCACACATATTATGGCATAAGATACACACTTAAATACATTATACAGCTGTACAATTCTATGGTATTTCCCAGTTTTAGTCATTCATGTTGCCATCCCTATTCTTTTTTGATGTTAGATCCTTCCTTTTTTCCCCACCATTGATAAAATTTATCCCATATTTTATAGTATTCTATCTCGTCCTTATCTTTCATTTCCCAAATTAATGTGTCTATCCCAGCACATGGCCATTTCTTAGCCCCTAGATTTCTTAAAACCCCAAAAGCTAAGATGTGTATTGGCAATCTTTCTAACTAATGCCAAAACTGCTAACTTTGCAGAATGTAGAACATCTATGCAATACATAAGAAAAACGCAAATAAACTGAAGTTCATTAATTAATTACTATGATTAATTCAGTTATAATTCAGGTATTTATTGTGCTTATTATACTACTTTGTGATTTTAAAGCATGTACATAGACACAAATTGTGTTGTATTTATGTTCTATACATGCTTTCGGGTTTCGTTTAGTTTCATCCATCAATTTCCCTGGGTAGGTTTACACTCGAACATAGTTTTGTTTTGCTAACTTTTTAAAAGTGATGGTATTTTTAATGTAGCAAAACCCACTATACAGTTGTGCTCATAAGTTTACATATCTTGGCTGAATTTTTGATTTCTTGGCCATTTTTAAGAGAATATGAATGATAACACAATGATGACTTTTCTTTCACTGATGCTTAGTGGTTGGCTGAAGCCATTTATTATCAATCAACTGTGTTTACTCTTTTTAAATCATAATGACAACAGAAACTACCCAAATGACCCTGATCAAAAGTTTATATACCCTGGTGATTTTGGCCTGATAACATGCACCCACGTTGGCACAAAGGGGTTTGAATGGCGATTAAAGGTAACCATCCTCACCTGTGATCTGTTTGCTTGTAATTAGTGTGTGTGTATAAAAGGTCAATGAGATCCTGGACTCCTGACAGATCCTTGCATCTTTCATCCAGTGCTGCACTGACGTTTCCGGCTTCTGAGTCATGGGGAAAGCAAAAGAATTGTCAAAGGATCTGTGGGAAAAGGTAGTTGATTTGTATAAAACAGGAAAGGGATATAAAAAAGATATTGAAGGAATTGAGAATGCCAGGCAGCCGTGGTTCAAACGCTAATCAAGAAGTGGAAAATGAGGGACTCTGTTGAAACCAAACCACGGTCAGGTAGACCAACTAAAATTTCAGCCACAGCTGCCAGGAAAATTGTGCGGGATGCAAAGAAAAGCCCACAATAACTTACAGGACTCTTTGAAAACATGTGATGTGGCTGTTTCAAGATGCACAATAAGAAGGCACTCGAAGAAAGAGGGCCTGCATGGTCGAGTCGCCAGAAGAAAGCCATTACTACGCAAATGCCACAAAGCATCCCGCTTATAATACGCCAAACAGCACAGAGACAAGCCTCAAACCTTCTGCCACAAAGTCATTTGGAGTGATGAGACCAAAATGGAGCTTTTTGGCCACAACCATAAACGCTGCATTTGGAGAGGAGTCAACAAGGCCTATGATGAAAAGTACACCATTCCTACTATGAAACACGGAGGTGGATCGCTGATGTTTGGGAATGCAGGAAATTTGGTCAGAATTGATGGCAAGATGAATGCAGCATGCTATCAAAAAATACTGGAGGAAAATTTCCAATCATCAGCCCAGAAGCTGCACATGGAACGTACTTGGACATTCCAATATGACCATGATCCTAAACACAAAGCCAAACTGACCTGTCATTGGGTACAACAGAATAAAGGGAAGGTTCTGGAGTGGCCATCTCAGTCTCCTGACCTCAATATCGTTGAGCCACCCTGGGGAGATCTCAAATGTGCAGTTCATGCAAGACAGCCCAAGAATTTACAGGAACTGGAGGATTTTTGACAGGAAGAATGTGGCAGCTATACCATCTGAGAAGATAAAGAGCCTCATCCACACATACCACAAAAGACTTCAAGCTGTCATTGATGTTAAAGGGGGCAATAGACCATATTAAACTTTTGATCAGGGTCATTTGGGTAGTTCCTGTTGTCATTATGATTTAAAAAGAATAAACACAGTTGATCGACAATAAATGGCTTCAGCCAGCCACTAACCATGAACGAAAGAAAAGTTTTTGTGTTATCATTCATATTTTCTGAAAAACAGCCAATAAATCATAAATTCTGCCAGGGTATGTAAACTTATGACCACAACTGTATGTATTTTGCATTAAGGTATCATGTTGCAAAGTCTGTCCTTTTTACATTTGTGTTGTGATGTCACCTACACATACAATTTTCATTGTGAATCACAAGAGATACTGCAAATTTTTGATGAAAACATTGGTGCTGATGATCCTGCCTTAAAATTATCAATGTTGTTCGGAATAGAAATGTTACTTGCAGAATCTGTAAACTCTAAAAGAAAACCACGGGGAATTTCTTTTACAATTGCAAGAGTCAAACGTTGTACTGGAAAGCCTAGGATTCAAATTGTTAGTCACCTACAAAACCATCAGAATAATCTTTGGCCCAATCCTATCTCTTCAATTAATCTATTTCACTGAGCCATTGAAGAGTAAAAGAAGGGTAAGGGGAAACACTGTCCTCACTGATTTGGCAGAATAGTGATGTAAAGGTAACTATTGATCCATTTGCTATTAATGTTTATTATTAATAAAGAATATCTGTGAGACCACCCTAGACATTAAATTGTCTCCAGATTTTGGAGACTGAAGAAGCATCTGGCCAAAATTATACAGTCATAAAATGCATCATTTGACTAGTAACAGCAATCATACAAATCAGTTATTTATATACAAAGTGGAAGCATTTTGAATTATCCGTCTGTTCTCAGCCTTCTTGTTCTAAAATATTTTTTTAATAAGGGCACTGGAAACTTTCACAAACTTTGAATGATAGGTACGTTATATAACTAGGGGCAAATGTCTGAGCTATATGCTTCTCGTAGAGACAAACTTTTCATAATTTACCTAAATAGAAATATTATCTATATAGGGGTTTGCAATTCAAATTATGGATGGTGATTGCAGAAAGCAAATCTGCTGGAGAGCTGATAATTGCAAGTTTATGTACTGTTTAAATATTCAGGTTTGATCATTATGTTGTTTTCTCTGAACCAAATCATGCTGTGCTTGGTCTGCTCTTTATCATTATTGCAAACGTACCAGAATCTGGGACTATTTTCTGCACTGTGAGATTACAACTAGCAATTTCTATTGATTTGACATTGTAGATTCTACATCTAAATGCCACTTCAGGGACAAATGGGATTGCGTTTCTTTATAACATACTACTTTACTATCAAGTTTTTGCACACATACACTTTTGAATCTCTATTCATTCACTTTTATTTATTGCTTGACAACTGAACTAAAGTTCCTTTCAACTTTAGCTTATGAATTATGGTTCAAGCAGATCCTGTGGGAATTGGATTCTGTTCGCGTGATATTTCAGAATGGCCATGTAAGTAGAATAGAACTGTTTTATTTCAACTTCTCTTTGGGTTATAAAATACAATTTGAAATTCAGCTTATGAAATGTTGATATTCTGAACATCTACAACAGTGTCAAAGTTGATTTCATTGAGGGCCAGATCGGCACTGTGATTGTCCGTTGTGGGCCAGAGGGTAGGAGGGCCATGACCGGAGTGGTAATGGCTGACCACCCCAGTTGCAGCATCC